TACTTGGAACATTTAGGACACTCACATCTTTCAAATGAAATTACAATTTAGTCTGCTTTCCTAGGAAATAATATAAAAAGTTTTTAAAAAATTGCACAGATCCTTAGCTTTGAAAATACATGTATCATAGTAACTATTATATTGCATAAAGTGCAATTCTGTCAATTACTTGTTAATAAATTTATTAATTCTTACAAATATTTATATACTTAATATTAAATAAAATACTTTAGGTGACATTTGTATAGAGTAAAATTATTCTATTTCAATAGAAGATTAAACAGTTATTTGGAGTTTCAAAAAGAATACCAGCTTGAAAGAAGTGTTCTCATAGATTCTTCGATTATTTGAGAGTTCTATCTAAGAAACACAATAAATTTTCCTTCTTAGCAAAGAACTGCACCATTGTAAACAAATTTGAGAAGTAAAAATTGTTAACATTAAACAAAGATAGCAGTGCAACAGTCATTTTATATAACATTTACTTTTAAAAGGACATTAATTATTAAAAATATAAAATTTTATATTAACATACATCCTGAAAGGATGTATTGATTTCACTAAATTAATAAATATTTTTGAGCACCAATCGTGCCAGCCACTGGAGGAGGTATTTTAAAAGGCTATAGGATTATAGTAGAGCTAAATATCCTAGACAAATATTGGTCATTTTTAACAAAATGGAAAAAAAAACCATTTTTCCAAAAGTTGTAATTAAATTTAATAGCATGAACATTTGCACACAGAATAAACATTTTAAAAGGCCAAGTGTTTATTCTTTATCCACTGCAATCACATACATTGACTTTAAATATAGTAGTTTGTGATTTTGTCTCTTTAGGCTGAAATACTTTTGGGGATGGATCTACGGTTTGAGGATCTTCAAATTTATTATACAGATATATATGCACTTCCACGATAACACATGAGAATAACCTGTAAATCATTCTTTTGGGGCTTTTCTTTCCTACTAAAACTTTAAGTAAAAATTGAAGTATGAAAAAGTGACAAAAATGTTCCCATGTGTTTCATGTTTTAAGAATTTAAGTAAAAATTCTAGAATATCAATTTCTTGTTTGATAACAAGACAAAATATGTTGGTGAATACTTTTTTAAGGCTTCTTTCTTAGTTGTAGTATCGATTTGCACAATACTATCTATATCTAAACTGAAGAGTAGAATTCAGATAAAAAAAAAAAAGGCTTTTTCTGAAATGGAATCCTAAAAAGGTAGAAAGGCCTTGAAAGAATTTAAATCTAGCCCTCCTTGTGGGTGAGGCAACTGAGGACCAGGCAAGCTATGCGACTGGTCCATTGCCATAGTTCACAACAGAAGCTGTACTCAAAATCAGATTTTCTAGTTTTATTCCAAAGTTTTTCCCACCACAAGATACACTCTCTCCCCTTAAGTATCATATAATTGGGGACAAAATGAAATTTGAGGTGTTTCTGTATACTGACTCAATTCTCCAATTTGTTTTGTCTTTGTAAACACCATCAAAGCCTGTTTAAATAATAGTCATGAAAAAAAAACTGTGTGTGTAACTGGACCCATAAAGTAACAATTCTATAACTTTAATCCCCCTGTTGTCATGTGTAACAATCCAGGATATCTATAAATCTTATAATATATTTCTATTACAAAGGAAAAGATCTTTTCCTCATGTCTGCTTCTGACAGAATACTAGGCATGACATTCATTTACTCATTCTTCTTGTAGTCCAAGACCTAATGGAATATTTGGCAGATACATAAAAACTATTTTAAATACACAACTTTTAGTTTATCTCAGGACTTGTTTGAACCAGTTCTTGGAATTGACCACACTTGCTCACACAGATAAAGATACACTTCAAACAATTAATTTTCACTCACATATGGGAAACAAATTTAAAAAACAAAATTATAAGAAATATTAATTTCCCAATTAAATTATATCATTTTTACAGAAGTAATCTTTTTAGGAACAGTGTTTCCAAACAGGACACATTTTATTCAAGTTTACAAATAGACACTACTTTCAAATTATGCAATTATGTCACTGTTGCAATATAATTTGTCAAATTTTTAAAAAGCATATTATGATATAAATTGTATTTAAACTAAAAACAAAGTATTAGTAAATAGATTACATTATTTTTTCAGTTTGAAACTTAATTGAAATTCAGTACTGATTCTAAACTAATAATGTAATCAGGCTTATTTAAAATTATTTAAACTGAATGTTTTAGAATTCATAGGGCTTTTTTTGCTGGTTTTTAAAATACCTTTGGTTCTAGCTATAGCTGGTATATGTGTATATTTTCAGATACTGTGAATTATTACTGAGTCTCAAAAGCTATTTCCACAAAGCAAATGAAAAGTGTACCTTTACACTTGTATAGATATTATAATACTTTTCATTTTGAATGAAATTGTCTTACTTAGCTCGCATTATTACTACCCAGAATATAACAGAATTCAGAACTCAAAGATTTAGGTAGTCACTATTCTGATGTCATTTATATATATGCTCTTATTACTGAAAATATCTCCAAAAGAAATCTACTTTTAAACAGTAAGTCTAATATGTAGAATACACTACTCTCTAACGTTGTAAGAACATCATTCTGTCACTTCTGTGATACAATAATTGCAGCACCTGTACAGTATTGACAAGATGGTGAATAATCATGATGGCCTTATACCGTCTTCTGTACATCCTTAGTACTTATCCTTTGTCCTACATAAAACCTAAAATATGTCCCAATATATCCATCATATCCACCTTTGTTTTCTATTCGTATATTTAAAAATTTACCATTCCAATGTGAAATGTAATAGGAAAAATGATAACATGGTTTATAGAATTTTCCATTCATCAAACTGCTACTTTATCATTTCTCTCCGTTGCCTGGACTTTCATGGGGAGCTCTAATCTGGTTCTAGATTGGTGCTGCTGTAACCAAGAACATCATACTAGAGCTACCAGTGGCCTCAGGGAAAGATCCTGACTCCAGGAAATGATTATTTATTAAAAAGTATACTTGGTCAGATTCATCAGTCCAATACTTCTTTTTTATATACACATAGGGGTTGTCTTGATCCTCTGTGGATCTTTAACCACGAATACCACTATTACCTGCAAATTCTATTCAAGCAAAAACATCGCAATTCACAAACACAAAGAATAAAATAAGCAAATTCTTTGTAAAATGCACTTTCTATCAAGCTCCTTACCTGGGACTCAGTAGCAAACCATCAAACAAGATGATGTTTCTTACACCTATTAATGAATATCACAGTAGAAAATTGAAAGTTCATAGACATTATATAAATTTCAATGGGAAACCTAAAATCTTCCATTTATAAGCCATAACTTATGTTCATAAAAATTAGAGTATTTAGGCAGGCTTGATTAAATTAAAACTAGTGTGGGGGGGAGCAATTTTCATAAGTTTTCTCCCTCCTTTTCCACTATGCCCTAAGTTTTATTGTCAAATGAATAGTCTAAGCTGTATCCATGTTCTTGTTTTCAGAAAGAAATTGAATCACCTTTGTAAAACAAAACAAATTTTAAAAAATGATGTTTACCCTTCTAGTATTTGGACATCAACTGAGAAACCACCCAGTAATTATAACTACTTAATATTACTTGGTTCTAGCATGAAAAGCACAAAGAAGCATTTTGTACTTCTTTAATCTTGGCTATGGACACTGACAGGGCAAAAGCAGTAATTGACTAGTAGTGACGTAATTTAAAATTCTATTTTGAGGGGAAAAAGCTGCCTTGTAACAAGAACAATTAACTGCAGTAATTTCAATTTAATAAAGTTTTGAATTTTTTCCTCTTTCTTATCGTAAAAGGTCTGATGATGAAACACTTTCCCCCCAAACTTAAATAAGAACCAGCTCAGTCAGACTGACACCTAATGGAAACTTTTATAAGAAAATAATTCTGTAAAGGAAAAAAAGCAATGAGATAAGTATTTAAACCACATGAACCATGAAAATCAAACTACTTTTTTGTTGACTGTGAGTTGAGGTTTCCTCTAGATTTCATCACTAGCATTTGTAATTATTCCATTCTAAAAATTATTAGTATTCATTTATCAAGCAATTGCAATCCTAAGCTGAAGTGCCAGTGCCACAAAATTGAATGAAATCACGTATTTTTCATAAGTTCTTCCTCATTCCCTCAACAAATGCTGGAGTGTTACATCTTCCATTTCTCACAAACCCTATCACCAGGCCTTCAGCTCTCTTCCTTTCTTTCAAATCTTAAACATTTCCTATTTAGCCGTCCAGCATGAAGCCAACTTTCCAGAGATCATCCAGGAACTAGATTACCTAGCCTCTCTCTACTTTTCTAATTTCCCAGTGAAACAATGCCACCAGAAGACATATTGCATTTTGTTAAATACATAACGGACACAATTAAAAATCCCTTAATCACCAACTGGTGGATTCCCTAGAGAAAGAGGGTAATTCCTGGAACAATGAAGGAAAGAACAGGAGTTAGATATTCTCTTACTAGTGATAGAACGCAAAGTGCAAAGATTGCATCTATATTTTCTTTCCTACTTCTCATTCTTAAAAGGGACTAGCTCCGGGAGCTTCTGAGAAGGGCCCCACCCGTTTTACCTGCAGACAACGTTCTCTGGGAGCAAAAACTATGAGTGTAGATACCCTGAGAGTAACTGTGAGCTCTGACACCGTAGGGTGGGAACGGAGATAGGGAGAGGAGGGCTGTGAAGTACCCCTCACTACAAATACTGTACTGCAAGAAAGGCAAAACCCTAGACGTGAAAGCGTGAGTGTGCCTGTCTCCCTCAAGGCACCTTGCTCTCAGCCTCTGCAGGGTTCAGACTGCTCTTGAGGGCAAGAACCCAGTGGCACACACGCACTTCGTGCCTGGGAAAGGCCCATCCTCCAGAGGGAGAAAGTGTCTGGGGTTCAGCTCAGCTTGGACAGGTCCGAGAGCGCCGAGAGGGAGAGGGAGAGCTTTGCAGGCTTCTAAGTTTATTTTGTTTCTGTTTTTCTCCTGCAGCTTTGACCTCTCAGAAATCCAATCTTCGCAGCCCATGCACAACCAACGGCCACCACGCAGGAAGGAAACACAGTCTTAGTGTCTTGCCGCGCCTGGTAGAACCTTATGGGCGCCCGGTAGGTTCTTGTCCCCAGGACTTTGTCCTCCCACGTTTGAAGCATCACCACCGGCCCACCGCTGGGCCCCGACAGCTCGCAAGGGGGAAAGGCAAGTTTCAAGCTACTTGGTCCGAAGCTGGCGAGCGCTGAGAGCTCGAGCCCTGGCCCTCGCCTTCCACTGTGGGCCATCCTTCCCGTCTCAACCCGGCCGCGTCCGCTTGTCCCCGGGAGTGCAGGCACGCTTGTCGGGGGCTGCTGGGCGCTTGCTTGCTTGCTCTTCGCGAGGAGGGGACATATCCGTATCGTTTTATTGTCCATCAATATTTGAAACAAAGTATTTCAGAAACAAACAAAAACTGGAAGTAGAGGAGGGAAAAGCTCTGTCTTCCTCCCGTCCCTTCGCAGCAGACCTGAGAGGGGCAACGTGCCTTGAGTTGGCTGGTGCTTGAGACTCGTCCTAAAGGCAGGGGAGACAGCGCTGAAGAGGTGTCCCAAAGACACTGGACGTCTGAACAGTCACTGCCTGCCCCAGCCTCTCTCAGGAAGGTTCCAGGTCTGTGCCACATTGCAACCAATCCGGTTTCCATCCTGTTTCTCCACCCCTTCGCGGAGAATCCGAAAAGAAAATATGGGTTCCCGAGAGACTCGCCACACTTCCATCTGCAAGTTCCGCGGGGACCCAGCCCCGGGCCCCCGCCCCTCCCCGGCCCGGCCGCGCGTCTGGCTGCGGAGCGGCACCCGCCGCCGGGGGGTGGGGCTCGGCGCCGCCCCGGGCCGGGGATTCGCGAAGTCACGAGCTTCCGCAAGCTCGCGGGGGCACCTTCGCCCACGGACACGCCCTTTCCGCGGAGGCAGCCCCGCGACCCTCTGCCGAGCTCCGGCTGCTCGCTCGCGACGCTCCCACACTGCTCGAGGCCTTTCAGTCACTCCCAACTTTAGGGGATCGCCCAGTCCGCGTCTCTCGGCTCAGCCGCACCCTGCCAGCGACAGGAGACCAGCCGGCGGGGGACGCCGAATTGGCCCGCTGCCTCGGCTGCGCCGACCCCCTTCCTCTCCCCGCCCGTCCCCCACGCCTCGCCCCCGCCCCCTGCACGCACCCATTTGACAGCCCGGGTCACCAGAGGTGCGGCGCACAGCCTTCCTGGGGGACCCCGTGCGAAAACACCCGAGGAAGAGAAAAGACGAGAAAGTGCTACCTTGGCAATCACGGGCGTTCAGTGGCCAGTGGTGGGCTGGGAGGGGCGGCCGCTGCCCGCCTGCCGCTGGTACTCTCCTCGACTACGCGTATTCTTAAGCAATAACAACGTAATCCGTATTATCCACCCAAGAATACCCGTCACCGAAGAGAGTCGGAGGACCAAGCTGCCGCTGCCGCTGCTACCGCTGCCGCCGCTACTGCCGCCGCCGCCGCCAGAACTCTTGCTGCTGAGCCCGCCCCTGGCTGGGGCTGGGCTGAGCTTGACCGGGACCATAAATCCATAACTCGATTTCCCTCTTAAAGAAGGATCCAAAGCTGTGCTTGGCTGCTTCCTGCCCAAATCCAAATGGCTGCTCTATTTCCAATTCTGAAAGACAAATCACAAAACCAAACACTTAACACAGACGGAGAAGAGTGCTCTCTTCCCAGTGAGGAGGGACGATGTTGAAGGCTCTTTGGGCACAGGGCAGGAGTGACAAGTAACCTTCAGTTTACCTGGTGCTTTTCCCAGTGCCTTCCTCTGTACTCGCTCTGCTTTATGCCCAGTCTGGTCTCGGCCGGCCCACTCTAGGTGCTTTGATTGAATGTCATGGCAGCAAGAGAACCCTGTAAGAGACATGCATACTTAGGCACACAAATATTACAAATGTATTTGCCTAGACGGCTGAGGAAGAAGTGAGGCTCCAATAAAGATAGGGTCATGCATGGATGAAATTTTCAGTAGTGTGTTTTGGAAATGTATCTTCTCAAGCCCAAGATTACAGAAAATAAACACTCATTCAATTTACTACTCGAAATCAAATACTTATAGATCTACGAAAATAGACATCTCTCCTTTGAAGGCCTTAGAGCTATACAATATAATGATTTTTAAAGGAAAAAAAAAGCTTCAAGGTACAAAATAATTAAACCCATTTTCCATACTATCAGAACTCACTGAGTTGACAAGCTGGTAGTTTCTATGATTTAGGAATTGGCTTTGTAGCACCACAATGTTTAATTTCATAGCACACCTTTTTAATATTCACTATCAATGCATTGTTGTGCAGCTGTTGTGAACACCTCTATAGAAAAGCTTTGAAGCTCTGTCTTCATAACATTATTTTAAGAAGAAAAAAACAATAAAAACTCATTTGCAAAGTGACTGTAATTTTGGCATTTAGAGAGAGAATCTCTGTGATTCTTTGATGATCAATATGGCTCTTACTGGAAAAGCTTTGTCTTAAGACCCTGCAGTGGATATTCTTATAATAGGGGTTTATTGTTCACTAAATAAAAGGGACAAGTGCAACGTCACTACACAAGACACGTTGTGGCTCCATTAGAAAGTTCTCAATTTGCTTTCCCCTTTACTCTCTAATACATGAAAGTGCATCCATGTGAGTGGAAGAGTGGAATAGGACGGAATATGGAAAGATGGCAATAGACATTATGATTTCTCAAATTATGTAAGTGAAAATAGCTCCTCATCAAGGAGTAATTATATAACAGAATCTCTCCCACTACCACAACTCATCTCTAACTGACCTGATGCAATTTAAGGCACTTAGGTTGTGCTTGCTCTTATTTTTTTTTTAATATAACACTTCTCCAGGCACACCATCTCATCATTTTCCTGACATGTTAGTTACAGATAGAAAAAATCAACATGAATTCTAGGTTTTTTGAACAGATGTTTAGTATATGATGTTTGATGCCTAAAATAACTCTAAATAAAAAACAGCATTGCCCAGCTACGAGACTATTTTACATTATTTTCAAACAACTCTTAAGTACACCATTTACAAAAAAAACCAGATACCAATTAACAAATTAATAAGCACTATTTTCTGCCATTACCTAACATAGCTATAAAGTGGAGCTTTTCTCTGGTACTAAAACCAAAAAAAAAAAAAAAAATCCGGAAAGCTGACAGGTTCTCTTCAGCTTGAACTCCTAGAAACAAAAGCCCTTAGGGAAAGTAATGCAATAGTCTATGAGCAAAGTGTACATTTGCTTCTAAACTCTTCCATTTAAATCTCAACTAACATTAAAGGGAAACAAAAACAAAACAAAAAAGACATTGTATAGGTAGGTTTTGATTCACCAAATGGACCGTTTCTAATTCAAAAGGATAGTCAAGGCATACATACACATACACACACACAAACACTCACACACATGCACAGCAATACACAGGGCATCAGAATCACAGCATAAATACCCACACAGCTTTTCAATGCTTTCGGAGTAGTCTCCTTTAGTTTTGCTTCCTCACAATTAAAATAAAATTCACACACACATACACGCACACACGGAGACCCACAGACTCACATGCTTTAAGAAACTAGAACAGCGCAGTTGATATGCTTGCTTTCTACCCGAGTAGCAGTGCCAGCCCTTTCCCTACCTACCCAAATGTTCCACCAGCTTCAGCACCTGGAGGAGTGGACAGCTCAGCCCGGGCTGACTGGCGGCAGCACTCGCAGCAGAACTGACGCTCTGAGCTCTAACCAAAGCTCTCTCGTGCTTCAGCGGGGCAGCCTGACTTACGAGAACACCATTTCCTACGAGACCACTGCCGCTGGGTGCATATTCAATTCAAGCCTCCTTAAGCTGTCGGATTTCCCCCACCCATCCACCCTCCCCCCTTCTCCACCCTCCACACAAAAACAGAAAAGGGAAAAAACCCAATACCATCAGGGCGTTTGTTGATCAACTCACACTTTGCTTTTGAATATTTAGATACTGCTAGCGGAACAATATCAGCAGAGGCTTAGGTCTGCATTAAGTACCTTTGTTCATCGACTCCTGCAAGCCATATTTATTAGAATCTACATTTCTCTTGCTCCCTAATAACTAGAGGTGTGTTTTGCAGGCAGGGGGCATTCAGCACCTTTTGATCTCTCAAGCCCACCGAGACTGACTGGCGGTTCCCACTACTTTCCTACCCTATCCCCCACACTCCTACACCCATCTCAGTTAAATGCTTGGTAATTTGCAGCCAAATGTACATAAAGAAGCACGACAAAGCAATCGGTTTGAGGAAATAAGCCAATTAAGCTAAAGCAGAAATGCTTTTCTCTCTCTCTCCCCCTCTCTCCCCCCTCTCCCTCTCTCTCTCTCTTTCCCTCTCTCGCTCTCTCCCCCTTGACTCCCTCCCTCTCCCTCTCTCCTTCCCTCTCAAGTAGAAAGGGGGAAACACCAAGGAGAGGGAAAAAATCGGGAGGAGGGTGGTAGTCGGCTCTTACAATCAATGGAAAAACACTATACACATCTTTACTGAATAATACTCTCATTCTTACACAAAAAGAAACACATTTATCAGTGTAAACATAGTCTCCCTCTCCCACACATCCTACATCCTTTACGTTTGCTGAGATTTGTCTTGCTGTATGGCAAAGTAACTGTCACAAATCCATCTCGATTGAAGTGCTTACCCTCTAAATCCAGGTTTCAAGCAGAGCTCCAACTGTGTGTAGAAGCCAGGGAGTCATCTGATGTGTGGTGAGGCAGGCTCTGGGCAGTGGGAGCCGCTTCCCTCCGTAGTGCCGGGTTACAGTGTTAACAAGCCTTGGGAAGGGACCTCGGCGCCTCGCGTTGGCTGTGCCCCAGTGCCTTCGCGTGGTGGCGGCTTGCTCATGCTTCCGAGGAGTCCCAGACGATAGCCTTCAGCTGATGCGAGCTTCCAGAAAGGAGTGGGGAAGGGAAAAAAATCATCTAATGCAATCAAATCGATCTGATCTACACCATCTGTCGCCTGCCACTATACACAAACGTTAAAATAGGAAAACGGAAAACACTGACAGCCCGAGAGGGTTGGTCTGCAAAGAGTTCATTTTTAGCAGAGCATAATTGGATATGGTCGGCGTACAGTTACAAAAGCTGCTGTTAACCATCCAGTAGTGGATCCCAAACATGCTAATGGTGGATTAATTGAGGAAGATCTGACGTGCAAGCTTCATAGTCTCTTATTCATGACTTCCCAATGGGAAAGGACCAATGCCTTGTGGGACTATGGTAACATACAGTCAAAAAGCTGCTAAGAAAATGGCTGTGTGTTCACAGCACCTCTCTCTGATAACAAACATATGTCGACTAAAACGCTTTAGTAGAATGGGAGGGGGGTGTTGGAGAATAAAATTTTCTTTCCCCGTGTAAGCAATCCCCATCTTCTTTTCTTAAAGAAAAGCAAAAATAGATACCATATCTTTACCAGAGTGGGGGAAAAGGATGTTTTAAAAGGTTTTTATCAAGATCAAACTCTGCCATATGAAAGAAACAGAACACTCCTGTGCAGCAATTCTTAAAAAAAAAAAAAATCTATTATCATTTTTTTCCTTACTGTGATCAAAGTAGATCCATAGCATGTGCAGGATATAAAAACTCAGCCCAGTTAATCCCACCAGG